ATCTAGATCTAGATTAGACCTATTCTAGATAGATCTGGATCTAGATTGATAAATCACAAAGATTTATATCAAGTATTTAAGGACTAAAAAAATGTATTATGATTTTAAAATGGATTGTATTTTTATCTAATTAATCTTTGGTTTGTATCTAATTAATCTTTGGTTTATTCTAGATTCTAGATTCTAGATCTAGATCTATATCTATAAATAACTTTCTTGGTCACCTGATATTTAGATCTATAAATAACTTTCTTGTACAGATTGTAGAGCTAGAGAAATTTATTGTAAAACTAAATGAAAAAGACAGTTGAAAATTGATGTAAGTGTTGGAACGTAATAAATACAGCAAACGGACATATTGTTAAAGTTATAGCCAACAGAACATTAGCTTTAGAACGCGTTAAACATTGAAATGGGAACACAATCTTGTTCGATAGAAGCCGCCATTTTATTGTACTAAAAAGTAAACAAATAATGTGACGTCACTATTCAGTAAAAATAAAGCTATTGTTTGAAACTTTTAAAATTAATGTGGTTAATCTACCAATGAATAAATCAATAAATTAATTAACGTCTTTAAATAATTTTGTGATTAACAGTCTGTCTGAAAAGAAAAATTGTTCTCTACCTACATACTATTTTACAGGTCTATACATATGGCAGATTCTCTCCAGTAGTAAATCAGACAAACAAATAAATATTCAAACATTTAAACAAAGTTGAGTTTTAGTAGTATAGAGATAACATTGTCGAATTTCAATTTTAAAAAAAGATTTAAGTAATTAAGTTTTAAGTAATGATAATGGACCTATAGTTCGCAATTTTATCTGCAACTTCAAGTTTTGTTAAGTAAAAACGAATCAGAATGTGAATTCTCCCTTCAATTTAACTGAAAAAAAGCGAGTAAAAATGTAATTGTCTTATGATATAGTATAAGAGACAAATTAACTAGATCTAAAGTTAATGTTAAAACGTTGTCCGTTTGTTTAACCTTGTGACAATATGGATAACTTGTGCAATTAAAAACAAGGTAATTAAAAAGTCTAGTGACAATTTTAGCGCAATTTCCTTATGTTATCTAAAAATAGCTCTGTCGTAGCGTAAATCAAGAGCAGGGTTAGTAAAACCATTGGTTAGTTATTAAAACGTTTTTTATTAATTTTTTTTTCAGTATTTTACATGTTTTATTTACAATAGAGTTACATGACTAAAAACCATTGCGCGCCTAGCTACCGAACGTGATGGCGCAGCCATTGAACGTGATGGCGCAGCTATTGAACGTGATGACGCGTGTGGTGTGGTTGGATAAAAATGCCTACTAATTCGGTCCAAATTTTAATTAATTCAAAATTTTTTTTTGTGACCGAACGAAAGGATATTTTGGAAAACTTTCTTCGGCAATATTGTTCTAAATTATAGCAGGACTCGATTGGTACATGTTTCAAGTCGCTAAGTGGTCTGGTTGCCGAGATATGGGCAAAAAACTGCATTTTTTCGAGGTTTTTTGGCTTTTCCGGGAAATCCATAAAGAAACCAGGAATTTTTTTGGCCTATGTTCATTCACGTAACTTGCTTAACATAATTGCTTTTGGAACTAGTCCTCGATATTGCTTCGTTGAGGAGGATATACGACTTAAAGCTGCGGACACACATCCATTCATACATCCAGAAATGACGGGTTAATAAACGCAATTCTCCAGAATTGAAATGGACACCAGCGAGTTGACGAGATGCCTTCCATAATGTTGTTGCCATGGAATAAAAACGTGCTTTTTAGATTTAGACCGTAAAAAAAAAAAAAAAAACTTAAGCCTAATATTAATTTAGAAATTTTATAATTTTAGAATAAATGCTATAAAAGTTGCAAATCCAGAGAACTTGAAAATAATTTGTTGAGTTTAAGGCTACATTTCTATTTATTTTCATCAAGCCTAAGTGATAACAGGATGTTTCCTTTCGTAAGACAAATAATGATTGGCTGTACAGTAACTTAGTGATCGATAACTATTTGTTTATAAAACTTTGCAGATTAAGTTTTTAAATAACAATGCAAATTTAAACCCCATGACCTAGTTTTTCTATTTTTAGCTTACAATGTGTACAATAAAATTTATGGCGGCCTATCGAATAACAGGATGCCATTGTTTATGTCGCCATAACACGTGAAAACCAAATTGTTTTTGCTTTTTTTTTTTAAAAATTTATTTAGTTACCGAAAATATTAAAAACATCAAATACATCCTATCTTTAGTAAAGTCCGAAAAATACCAGACAGACAGGATTTTATAACCATATTAAATGTAACTACGCCGTGCGTGATTTTTTAATTAATTTATGGACCTCTCAAATACCTTTGAGGTTTTTCTCGCTGGCGTCCATTGCGCTAAAAAATTATGCTTCCTTTATCTTGCATTCCCTCATTGATTATTATACGTAACTAACTATTTTACAGAACGTCCATACATCAAGCCTGATCGAACCACACACAAAACCCCACTGTTACTTACAGATGATTCTGTTTCTATTTCCCAGACGTAAATAAGGCACTGACCAGCGGTCAAGTGACTGGCATCACCGTGGGCGTGCTGGCCACCTGTGCCACCCTGGCCATCGTGGTCCTGGCCGTACGGTGGTGGAAGTCTGGCGGACGTACAGGGAAGCAGGTGGCCATCCAAAACCCGGGGTTCATGAACGCCATGTTCCTAGCAGACGACGAGCAGGAGCAACCACGGACAGAAACTCACCTCACGAGTTCAGATGTCACGGCACTACATTTCTGAGTGTCACATTCGGACTGTCACATTCTTTAATTTCTGATTGTCACATTCTGATTGTCACATTCTGATTGTCACATTCTGACTGTCACATTCGGACTGTCACATTCTTTAATTTCTGATGGTCACATTCTGCGTCAATATCACGTTCTTTAATTTTTTAATTGTCACATTCTGCGTCAGTATACCATTCTTTAATTTCTAATTGTCATATTCTGCATCGGTATCATATTCTTTAATTTCTAAATGTCACATATTGCGTCAGTATCACGTTCTTTAATTTCCAATTGTCACATTTCTGCGTCAATATCATATTCTTTAATCTCTAATTGTGACACCTTGCATCAATGTCACATTAGTTAATTTCTAGGTATCATATTTTGCATCAATATAACATTCTTTAATTTCTAAGTGTCACATTCTGCATGGATATCACGGACTTTTATTTCTTGCTATCACCAAACTTGATTTTTTTTATTTTTTTGTTAATAATTTCAACAACAATTATTTTTTCCATAAACTCAATTCATGAAGATACTATCTAAACAATTATAGTTTTAAATAGCATCAAAACTGGAAATAATATCAAGTGTAATGGTTTTGTAACGATGTCAGCGATTATTCATGCTGTATAAGAATAGCGGACGGATACTTAAAAGTGAGTTACTGATTCCGCTGAAAATTTTCTTTGGTTTCTGTATATCTTTGTAAGGTTACTTTAAAAATTTGAAAAAAAAAGATCACGAAGTTTGAAATATAATTAAAAAAAATTTCTGACATTCAAACTAAATGGTGTTAACTTTTGGTTTATTTTAATGGTATGTTGTTTATGTTGTAAATAAGAAAATAACAGAAAAATTTCCAAGTCTGAAAAATCCCAAATACAAAATACGTGAAGCTGAGGCAAATTTAACATTATAAAAATAAAAGGTACTGGTGATGATACAAGGAACTGATGATAATACAAGGAATTGGTGATAATTTACAATTTGGTACAAAGATGGACTCATGATAAATCTTTTAACAAACTTTTTTATTTGTTGGAAAGAATAGGTTTACGATGAAGTGTGGAAATAATTCAGATATTTTAGACATTAGTTCTTTAAAATAAGGTCTTTAGAAAAAACTATTTTAGAATTCAGATCTTTCAGAATTTAGTTAATTTTGAAAATAGTTATTTTAGAACATTTCTTTATTAGAATTCTGTTCAATGATTTAGCTGTTTTTAGAATTTAGTAAATGACGTCACACTCGTAGGGGGGAGGATGGTCCGCAATTTTGTGACGGTGTGTGATGATGGGAAGGGGGGGGGGGGTGCTCAGATGGTGCAACGTCACACTTTTGCATTATAAAAAAGCAATGTTAGAAAACGAATTTTAGACGTTATTTTGCGTTTTAGAAAACTGTTTTAATAAAATGTAATAGCGATTCATTAAAATACTCTATTTTGACAGAGTTCAGACAAGAGTTTCGAAAAATATAGCTGTTTAATAAAAATTCAACTGCAATTTTTTGGGGGGGGGGGTTGTAGGCTGAGGTGTGACGTCATTTTAAGGGTGGGGGGGGGGTCTGGCTTTTTGTGACGACGTGTGACGGAGGGGAGGAGGGGAGGTAAAAATCGTCAAAAAAGCGTGACGTCATTTATGGTTGACCCCTAATTGGTGAAAAGGGTATTATCATACAGATACATAAACTGCAATATATAAATAAATAAATAAATAAATAAATAAATAAATAAATAAATATATATATATATATATATATATATATATATATATATATATATATATATATATATATATATATATATATATATATATATATGAATATGTGACATTGTTAGTTTAAAAATTGTAATAAATATATTTCAAATACACTGTCTAGAGTTTTTCTAATTCATTTTAAAGAAATTATTTTAAACATTATAACAATTAGTAGCTTGTATTAATACCAGACAACTTTAAGTGGCTTTATTACACGACATCGACTATTTAAGTTCATATACACATTAAAAATACGTCGACGAGATGGTTTTCAAATCATTTCTCATATGAAAACAATCCATATCAATAAAATGTCTTTGTTTAAAACGTATATTAATAAAAACCATAAATTATATAAACCACACAAATCGTCTGGTTTTTCTAATATATATATATATATATATATATATATATATATATATATATATATATATATATATATATATATATATTGTATGTTAAATGTAGATGGTTGTTAACTGCTTTTTTTTCTTTTTTTGCACCATCGAACAAAGAGCCCTACTTTAACTGCCACAACAACTGTCACAGAGACGCTTACTCCAACTTCAATGCCCAGGTTCTGTTGTACTATAAACGTTAAAATATTTATTTCATTAGAAAATGTTGTTCATGATGACAGTACAGAGTAGATAATATAACTTTACAAAAACAAATGACATTGCATCTTGACCATAACATGAATTGATTGACAGCATTGACGGATTATGGTTCAAGAATACGTCACGTAATTTTTGCAGATTTATAATATTCACGCCCAATATTTTTACACGAACGTGTAGACGTGATAACACACGAAACGTTTGAAATGAGATCATATAGCCACATGCTATACTATTGCTTAATATATATATATATATATATATATATATATATATATATATATATATATATATATATACATACATGTATAGTTTGGAAACCGTTGGTTTAGAGGTTACGCAATGTGTTTTTTATACTTTTATACTGGTGTAATATCCGATAAGATATATTTACCTCCGATGTTATAATTAGTAGCGTATACAAATGTAACAGTGGAATTGTTGATAACCAATCCGCCAGCCATTAACTGCTTCAGGGCATGGTCTAAAGTATTGTCTTTACTGTCGCCTGCATCGAAAGATATCTCTAGGTCAGCTATCAGACTTCCTTTACTGCAGAGCAACAGTTATTAAACGGAAAGTTTGTAATACTCATATTGAATACAGGTTGATATTTATGCTTATTGATTTCGAGAAAAAAAAAGGTTTTACAATAGGTAGCACGATATGTGAAAAGAAAGCATTAAATTCAACAGATTTACTAACCTCAGATTCAAAACTGTGACGTTTATAACGGCCAAACCAGTTGATTTCAATGCCCTGTAAAGCTATATAACCAGACGGAATTTTTAATGTCTAAATCCGCAAAAATAAAAGGGTTAAATTAAGGGTTAAATTAAAAACTGTTTTATTGAAATGACATTACTATTGTTATTTAAACTAGCAGCTCTAATATTTACTTAGTGTGCTTCTTTTAGCATTTGATGTATTGTATGTGTAGTAGCCACACGTAAAATGTCAAATATATATATATATATATATATATATATATATATATATATATATATATATATATATATATATCTATATACTACTAAAAGTCAAGTTTGTTTACATGTTTGAATATTTATTTTTTTGTTTGTTTTTTTGTTTGTTTGTTTGTTTGCCTGATTGACTATCTCGCATGGTTGCACTCATCGTGGAAAGCTGTAAAATAGTATGTAGGTAGAGAAAATTTTTTGTTTTAAGACAGACTGTTAATCACACATTTATTTAAAGACGTTAATTAATTTATTGATTTATTCATTGTTAAATTAACCGTATTTTTTAAAAAATGTTAATACTTTGAATAAACTTTGTGGGGATAGTGACGTCCCTTGATGTGTTTACTTTTTTGGTACAATAAAAATGGCGGACTCCATCATAGACTTTGTGGCCCATTCAAAAGTTTAACGCGTTACAAAGCTAATTTTCTGCCGGCTATAACTTAAACAATACGTCCGTTTGCTGTATTTATTACGTTCCAACACTTATATCAATTTTCAACTGTCTTTTTCATTTAGTTTTACAATAAATTTCTCTAGATCTAAAGATCAGCTGTCGAAGGAAAGTTATGAATCTAGAATCTAGCCTAGGGCCTAGATCTAGATTCTAGATCTAGGTCACTAGACTCAATGTAAATTCTAGATCTAGATTAATGTAAATTCTACATCTAGAATCTATTTCGGGCCTTAATTATTTTATATAAATCTTTGTTTAGCTTCAATGATCATCTAATTCGAGAATACATGGGATTTTTTTGTTATCTAGGTTCTATATCTAGATATAGTAGGATTACTCACTAACTTGGAGGCGTGGTCGGCTGCTAACAACAATATGGCGTACGGACCGGACGCATGACTTCTGACCATTTTTAGGCCATGTTTACCACGAGCAAAATGGCGGGTGTTCACATTATTTAAACATTGTATAGGTGGCCAGGGCTAGATATGCCAGAAAAGCATTTTAAAATTTGCTTTGGAGAATGAAGGCTAAATTTTAAAGTCAGTGTCATAAACATTAATAGAACTTTTTTTTTTTTTACGTTTTCAATTATTTTTTCTTAAGCCCTATATGTGAATGATAAGGTTGACTATCAGGACCTCGCGGGGCACAGGGCAGGTGAAGTAGGGTTCATCTGTTTCTTTGTCCTAAGCAAATGAAGGGATAGTGTGGTCAGAGACATGCTCGGCTGGAATACTTTTTGTTGTCTGAGACTTGGCGGGACACTGGGCAGGTGAAGTAGAGTTGAGTAGGTCACCTGTGACGTCAGTATATGAAGGGATAGTCCGAAATAGTTGTTTTCGGTGTTTTTAAAAGATAAAAAACATATTTTTGAATGTGGGGTCTGTTTTTTGTGACGATAAGTGACACTGCAGTAGCGTAGCGAGGAGGGGGGGGGCGGGAGGGGAGGGGAGGCGGGGGGGGGGGGGGGTGAAGGGGAGGCGGGGGGGGGGGGGGAAAGAGGAGGCGGGGGGTGGTGGAGGGGGGGAGGTGAAGGGGGGGACATATGTTGGGGCGCCAAAATGGTTTGGAAAAATAAATTGATAGGTTGAGGGGGGTTCAAATCGAAATCTTGTGGGGGGGGGGGGGTTCAAATCGAAAACTTTGTCCCTGGGCGCCGGGAAGGGTCGCTCTGCCTCTGAGTGACAGACGTGATGTTTTTTGATGGATGACCCCCGAAACCCACAGTTATCCAACGGATGACGGGTATTCTAGTATATATATATAAACAGCCATGCAATAAGTCTATATAATTATATACATTTATATAAACCTGTTCACACACACACACATACACGCACACAAACATTTATAAAACATACAAACACTCACACTCATACAAACAGACACGCACACAAACGAAGTTTATGACAATCAAATTTTGATACCTCAGATTCCAACATCAATTTTGTTTTGTAGTAGTCGTTGCTCAATTTATCTTCTAGAGTAAGTCTTGAGGCGTCTAGATTAAACGTTATTTTTATTTTTTGCGTTTCAATCGCCACTAAAATAAAAGTACAAACTTTGTCAGAGAATACAAAAAGAGCGTTTACTTTGATATAATTAAGCTTACTAATTTGGTAAAGGTAATAAATTAGGGATTAAAAGTTTTCTCTAAGAAACCTGTTTAAATTAATGTAGAAGACATACGAACTGGTTTAGAGAGATAGAACACATTCAAGACGTACAAAATTGATGAGATAAAAGACTTACAAACACACCCCCGCCCGTCTGGCAGTAACCTCATCCCTGTCTTACAGGAACAGCTGTATCCCCCGTCAGTGTTGACGCACGTCTGTTGACATCCGGACTTTCCTAGCTGGCATTCATCTACGTCTAGAAGAAAATTTTTATACGAACATACACTATATTATTTTCAATACTTTTTTCTTCTTGATTGTAAAGTTGAAAGGGATTTCCTCCGACACATTAAGTATTACTTGTCAACATGTTATGCGCCAAACTGGCCGTTGACTGACCTACTTTACTTTTTGGATTTAACTTTGTAGCCTACAAGGCAGCAGTTGTTTGATTTTGGAGTTGTCTCTCCTAGAAGAGTGGCTGTTCCTAGCTAACGAGCCTCATCTGCCTGAGGGTTTGAACTCGAGACTTTTCAGTTTAGCAACCATAAGCTTTACCGACTCGACCACGCCGACCCCAAAAGTTTAATAATAAGTTCTATGTTTTTATCTCCAGAAATCTGAAATACAGTGATAATACCGGTTACTAAAATTGCTCAAGAATTGACATGAACCAGTAAAGATCGCTTACATAATATAAATGAAATTTCGTTCATTATACTGAAATGGTACTAAGTTTATCGGTATTTTAGAAACCAGAAATAGAGTAAAGTACCCATTAAAATATTTTGAAAGTCACTTTAAAATTGAAAATTTAAGAAAGTAATGACAGAGCTTTAATTGATATGAAAAAAGAACACTATACCTAAGCAAGCGTTGGTTGTCGTGTTGTACCAGTAGCCTTGGAAACACGAGCAGGTGTAGCTCCCTACAACGTTGGTGCATAGCTGCTGGCAGCTGTTGTTTGCAACATTGGAACATTCATTGAAGTCTGAAGTAAGAAACGGTAATATTGATTTATTTTATCATTTCGTAAAACATGTAAGGGTAGCTAAATTACAAAAACACATCGTGTTCATACCTTGACATTCCCCATCTTCTCGAGTGAAGCCAGAAACACATTCACATTTTGCAGATCCAAGTAGGTTAACACAAACTTCATTGCCGCCACACTTGAGGACACCGTTACTGCACTCATCAATGTCAGCCGTACAGTACGTTCCTGGTAAAAGAATGATAGCGTAGTCAATGCCATTAGAACCGTGTCTGCACGCTTACAATATACTGTCTTATCTCGAGTGTCAGGCTATGCAGCACACCTAACTCTGACGGATTATCAATTACTGAAAAGCAGAAAATAAAACTAAATAGCGGCGTGTGATACGCCGCGGGTCGGCTCGTTGTAAATATTCGGCGTGAACACAGCACAACAGACTGGCGTCTATCTGTCTAACTAGTTATCTCCCCTTTTGTTAATGAATATAGTAATCTATCGAGTGATTTAACATTGTTATCTCCCCTTAGTTTTGAAACCGTTAAACTAATTTTTATTTACTAATTAAACATCTAATTAAATCTAATTAAACATCTAATTAAATTTAAAAAATAGATAGACTAATAATGTCATTAAAGAGAAACGTATCGGGAAAGTTTGAACGGAATTGCTGCATTTGAATTGGGTCAAAATTGAGTTAAAAGATTTGCCACAAGCCCACAAACAAACAAACAAACAGACGTTACGAACTAAATAAAAGCTCATATTTACTAAAAAGCACAAACTAAATTAAAAATTATGGAAAAATAACGTCAATAACAATAAGGTTTCAAATGTACTAAAATATGAAATACACATGGGCGCTCAATAAATCACTGACCATTATTTTTCTATTTTTTTTACAAAAGAAACCAGCTTTGTTTTATATCTTTTTTAAAAAAAAAGTTTATTTTAAAGCCTATTTTCATAAAATATGTTATATTTGGTTAATAGACTAATTTTCTTACCTGTGAAGCCAGATTTGCAGACACAGCCAGTGACGACATCACAGTGATCTGCCCCAGGTCCACACCTGCATGAGTTATTACACTCTAGGCCCCAAGTTTCTCCTCTACAACCTGTCCAACGTTCATTTAATTCTTATTAGTTGATAGGTATATCATATAAAGGCATTCTGGCTATAAAGTGTATTTGTATTCCTATAAATCTGTCTAAAACCAATAAGTTATAAAGAGAATAAAGTTCTAAAAAGTAAATAGGTCTTGTAATAAGCTGCTTTATCAGAAACTGCTATGAAAATTATCAAATTCTCAAGATTTTTGAGAAAACGGAAATAAAGTACAAATTCCGGTATAGCAAAGGTGATAGAAAATTTCATCAAATAAATATGAAATGTATTCTGCCTAAATGAAACGGTACTCATGTTACCATACTAAAACACACATTTACATACAATCATATATACATACAAGACTGGAAAATATGTTGTTTTTTTTACCAAAGAAGCTGTATGGCGTCGATATTTGATAAAAATATCAATTTCGATTTCAAGTACGAGAAAATGTTTTATTATGCTACAATGAACATGTGAACATTCTTTGTTGAAGTATATAATTGCTCAATTTAAATAGATAAAAAAATTCCCTTGCGCAGATTTTTGTGAGCAGTTTTTCGTTGCTTAGTTTTCAATTGCGCCTCTTTCCGGCCATCAAGATATGAATCTTAAAGTGTCATAATTATAAAAAATGTTCTGTTTTTGTGAGTGTAATTTATTAAATAGTAAAGCAACACATTACCAATACAAGAGCGAGCATCATTGTCCAGCTTTGAACCTGCAGGACAAGAGCATGTATAGCTGCCGTCTGTGTTGTCACAGCTGGTTTTGTTGTAACAGAAGTTGTCCCCGTTTGACAGGCACTCATTGATATCTGGGGATCAGTATAAATATAGCCCACATTCTTAAACGCTTGTTCCAGATACAATTATTTTGTTTGTAATACGTTGAGGGTGTTTAAGTGGTTCTTGTGGTGGGGGGGGGGGGGGGGGGGGGTGACAAGAATTGTCGCATCGGGAAATATCCGACCTAGCGACGCCACTGCCTACATACACTATCAACGCGCACCTTATAGGTGGCGTTGACACAAATCGTGACGTTTGAGTGTCGTGTCGTCAATGATTCAATCATACAAAGAAATCACGATACGGATACGTGTTTTCGTCGAACCCCTGAGACTGACTCACTGAACCAATGGGATTCGATATCAACCTAGTTAAGAACCACTGATCTAGTGTATTTCAACATTCTTACTTGATACACTTAACACAATTTCATTGATTTAGACTACAAACCTTCGCATTTGAATTTATCTTTCAGTGCATAACCCCTACGGCAGAAACAAGAAGCTTTACTGTCAGAATCAACGCTACAGCCATAACTACAGTTGAGACTTTGATTTATACATGGGTCAGTAGCTATCAGATGGAAGTGAAAACTAAATTAGGCCAACCATTTTCATTATCAATATAAATACATAAATAGACACATGATTACACACGCACACACATACACACACACGCACGCACGCACATAAGCACACACACACACATATATATATACATATATATATATATATATATATATATATATATATATATATATATATATATATATATATATATATATATAAAGAGAGAGAGATAATCGAGAAGTAAGAAATTGCTGGTAAAAAGTTCTATAAGAGAAATAAAAGTAATGAAAATGAATTATTACGCGTAGACTTATAGACTTGTAACGTTTTGTGTTTCTTTTATTTTTTATTTTTTCTTAAAAAACAGAACAATTATATTTTAGAGAAAGTTAAGAAAAATGTACCTTTTACACAAGAAAGCCTATTGTCAGAAAGATATAGTCCTTGCTGACACAGACAGCTATAGGAGCCAACATTGTTGTCACAAATCTGCTCACATTTGTCTATCTTCAGTTTACATTCATCTATATCTGAAGTATTACAAAAGATGCAGTCCATAGTTACATTAATTTTGAAATATTTACTGTAATAACTTTAGGCGACAACCAACCTTGACAAATCGAATAGGCATTCCTTGCGAATCCTTTCTTACACGAACATACGTAGCTGCCCACTGTGTTAATACAGATTTCAACATCCGAGTCACAAATTCTTGAGTTTTCTAGACACTCGTCGATATCTGGTTTAAACAAATCAAATGATAAACACCACTTTGACTGCCTGAACCTAACTCAACATTAAAGAGAAGCTAAATATTCAACATGTAAACAAAATATTTAAAAATTAAGCCATGTCAAATATTTAATAATACTCGTTCAATTTTATGGGACGACGTGGCCAAGCAGTAGAGCGCTAGACTGTTAACCCGAGAGTCACAAGTTCGAATTAGGGTTCAATCCCTGACCCACCTAGCTCTGACAGGTTCCTAACTTACGACTGGGCATAGAGCTGCCCACACTATCCCTTCATATGCCGCGGTCTCTGAATCAGATGACATGGGAACACGGGGAACATAGCTCACAGAAGAGCATCTATCTATATATAATTATTTTCTTGGAGACCATAGAAAACACCAAGCTGTAGGCGCGCCTACTAGCAGCCCCCTCTCTTCCTCTCTGGGCAAATCACTACCACCCCCACCCCCACATGGTCTGGTGAGCTGTGGTTCACGCTAAATGTTTACAATCGTAGAGCCGGGTTTAGTGACGGCTATTAGGGGCAGATAATTTAGTTTTGGTGTTTTCATAGTCGTCTGTAAACTGTCGCCACAGACGGCTGCTTTCACGGAGGGCAGTGTTTCTTCCAGGCCTTTATCTCCGGGGGGCGGGCACTTGAAATTTTCGGGGGGGGGGGGGCGGTAGACTTTCTTCGGGGGGGGGGGGGCGAACACTGTTAAAAGTATATATTTCTATATAAATTATAGAAATTTCATTTCGTTCGGGCAGGGGGGGGGGGGGGTAGAATTTTTTCGGGGGTAGGGGGCTCAAAGCCCCCCCCGAAGAGATGCCTGGAAGAAACTCTGACGGAGGGGGAGGGGGAGTGGAAAGTGAGGATGAGGTTTATTGTCCTTCACTAGCTACTGATAGTGTTTTAAAGCAAAATATTTTAAGTGGCAGCACAAATTATAAATTACTAAAAAGTAGTAAATAAAACAACTAAATAGCGGCGTATGCTACGTCGCGGGTCAGCTCGTAAAAAATACATCAACAGTTGTTGTTCCACAGGGTCAGCAACCAAATAAATTACAAATTATCCCCCCTGACTGGTAACCATGGTATGTTCTACACACCCAAACACATCCTCTGGTTGCCTGCATCAAGCCTGTAGCCCGACAAACAGCTGCAGACAAAGGATCCTTCAGTCATGTCGCACACTTGCTCGCATGGGCTGCTCGCTGCACATCCCTTGATATCTGCTCATGTGGGTTAACCAAAGTAATTTTAAAAAAAACAAGCGTTCTATCAAGCGATGTAAAGTACACGGTACAGATTTTTGATTTACACAAATTAATATTGTAACATTTACTAATGAATCCTAGCTCGAAAATTCTGTGAAAATAACATGACTGTAGGCCCTACCTGCATGATGCGATAGTCCAAAATTTAGTAGAAGTATTAAAAACAGGAAGCTATGTTCCTCAATTAGATTCATCTACATTACAAATACATAAAATGTATAAAGACCATAAATACATAATTATATATATTTATATACATCATATATATATATATATATCTATATATCTATATCTATATCTATATCTATATCTATATCTATATCTATATCTATATCTATATCTATATCTATATCTATATCTATATCTATATCTATATCTATCTATATCTATATCTATATCTATATCTATATCTATATCTATATCTATATCTATATCTATATCTATATCTATATCTATATCTATATCTATATCTATATCTATATCTATATCTATATCTATATCTATATCTATATCTATATCTATATCTATATCTATATCTATATCTATATCTATATCTATATCTATATCTATATCTATATCTATATCTATATCTATATCTATATCTATATCTATATCTATATCTATATCTATATCTATATCTATATCTATATCTATATCTATATCTATATCTATATCTATATCTATATCTATATCTATATCTATATCTATATCTATATCTATATCTATATCTATATCTATATCTATATCTATATCTATATCTATATCTATATCTATATCTATATCTATATCTATATCTATATCTATATCTATATCTATATCTATATCTATATCTATATCTATATCTATATCTATATCTATATCTATATCTATATCTATATCTATATCTATATCTATATCTATATCTATATCTATATCTATATCTATATCTATATCTATATCTATATCTATATCTATATCTATATCTATATCTATATCTATATCTATATCTATATCTATATCTATATCTATATCTATATCTATATCTATATCTATATCTATATCTATATCTATATCTATATCTATATCTATATCTATATCTATATCTATATCTATATCTATATCTATATATATATATATATATATATATATATATATATATATATATATATATATATATATATATATATATATATATATATATATATATATATATATATATATATATATATATATACATTCTTAGAATACTGTTTGTTCATCAAGAAAAAAAGTGTTGTAATTTCGATCTTGCATTCAGAGTGTGCTTATTTATACGAGTTGAATGTCATTGCCAAATAAGGTGTCCACATCCTAGGGGAGGAATTCCAAAGCCATTGCTTAAATGCATACTCACCTCTGTCGCATTTGGGCGCTGCGAGAAGGGATTGAACGCAACCTAACAAAGAATGTCCCACATCTGTCACATATATTTAAAGTTTTTGGAGCTATAATATTTTGTAATAATAGAAACCGGATTTCGAGAAAGGTTCAGACAATGCAAAATCGTCCTGTTTCATGATACGCTGTTGCTAATATCTTAAAGACTAACAGTCAGTTCTAAGTAATAGAAAATTTTAACTTAGGAATTAGCAGGATTTCGGAGACAAAGATGATATTTAATGTGGCTTAAGCTTTTTAGAGCAGTGTTTGCAACCGCGACGTGAAATAGTTGCATGCATTGCGTGGGTGTAATAATCGGTAGACAGGCGGGTAGAATATTTGTGTGTGGAGTGTTGGGGCGCTTCATGGGGGTTGGGGTGACGCGATGAGAAACGTGTATATATATATATATATATATATATATATATATATATATATATATATATATATATATATATATATATATATATATATATATATATTGTAACGTTTACCTATCTATCAGCCAGATAGATGGCGAACGTCCCCGGATTCTTTTTTCGGGGTAATATGCAAATGACTTAAAGCCTAAATGGATGAACACTAACTCAACAACACACTAGGGCTCGATCTCGATGTCTAGGGAAAACTAGTGATACTATTGAAGTTAACAACTCATCCAATCTGCATACAACCTTTAATAAGCGAACACAGTTGTGGCAGAACTCAAGTTTAAACTAGATAAAATATTTAATTTATAAAATAACAAAACCCAACTTACAAAGCGTAAGAAAAAACACTATCACAGATTTCAACACTGTATAAAAATAGCCACAGGTCACACAACACTGCTATAGCTTCAATAATCACTTGGCGACAAGTAATATTATACTAGAATACTAAAACAACTTAAGAAAGCATAGCACACACAGGACTTAAGTTCTCTCACGTTCAAATGGTCAGAATCTATTGCCGGACAAAATGGACGGCCTGGTCTTAATGGACCGTTTGATCAAGGTTGACTGCCTCGTGTTGCGTGTGTGCCATTCAGATAAAGACTTATGCAACAGGGGAGGTTATCCTCAACTCATGTAGCCATTGGTTGGGATGGTCATCTGATCAGAATTAATCAATCAGATCTTGATGGAAAATTTCTGGGTCCTAGACACCCTTAATAAGACAGTGGAAAAACCCCGGTAGTTGCACCATCAATCCATATAAGGTATTATACAAAGTCAAAATAAAACATTACTGGACCTAAGTAGGTCACAATATATATATATATATATATATATATATATATATATATATAGATATATATATATATATATATATATATATATATATATATATATATATATATATATATATATATATATATATATATAATATAATATATCATATTCATACAATATACACAAAGATATAACAAATATACATTGTGTTTTTTTGACAACAGCAGTGAAACTTAGTATTATGTCGTGTATTCGAATTAACTGCTGTGTACATGGATAGATAGCAGCGGCGTACCTACGTAAAATTAGCATAAGCAAGGCATGAGATTCAAGTTTTCCTTCATTGGAGTTTTAATATTTATTTTATACAAATAATTACAAATATAAAATGGAAATTTACTCTCTGATCTGCCTAAGAACTTATTTAAAAATCCGTAAAAATCCCCACGTTTTTCACTTCTTGTAATAATGCGCACGCAGTTTGAGATCGCTTATATTAGAGTGATCGCTTGCATTATTTCGATGTATAGCATTTATTTTCTACTTTTTAGTTGAATCAGAAAACGTGGGTTTTTAAATTTTTTTAAATGATAATTATTTTTACATAACGGCCAGAAAATCCTAGCTACGCCACTGATAGATGGTTTGGTTGATTAGATATAGAAATCAATGGAACGATGTCTGTTTGGCAGTGGGGGAACTAGAAAAACATTTTTTAGGCCCCCCATATATATATATATATATATATATATATATATATATATATATATATATATATATATATATATATATATATATATATATATATATATATATATATATATATATATATATATATATATATATATAATATATATACACATAAAATACGAATATAGGATACTCATTGCTGGCGTGTTCGGGTTTTGAAAAAAAAAGTTTTATTTATCAATAAAAAAAAATTAAACACCATGCTATGTGTGCAAGTGCACTGTAGTTCCGCCCCTGCTGTTTGGGTAGATGGATGAATAGACGTTTAAACGGATAGAGGGATAATAATTTCAATCAATATTTTAATATGTTTATTAAAATATGTTTTTGAAATAAACTTAAAAAATAATAATTTTACTTACCTTTAGACACCTATTGTAGCATGTAAACGACATTCTATGAACACACCTAATGTACATGGAACGGAGTCTTGGTAAAATAATTTTCTTGGAATAGTTTTGTGTGTCTGAAGTGGCTTCCATTTATGGTAACATCCTGTATTTTGTTACCTTAGCTTTACAAAACCACATGCTTGAGAAGTTTGGGCTGTGTAAGGCTGTTGTCACGGTGTTCGGGCATGAATGTAGCCCCCCACCCCCTCATTTAGTCTACCCTTCCGCCCTCCCGTCAAGTGACGTCTTTACACCGTTCCATGCTGTTTTTATACACCAGCTCGTAATACATAAAAAAGCTGATCATTTCAAAGCCTCAACTATTTGGTTTGTGCTTGTTTTTTCTTATTTCGTTGACATAATATATTGTTATAAAGGTTCGAGAAACTCCCGAGGCATCGTGAAATCTGCTTTAAAAGGAACAATAACTTCAGCAGTTAGCTCTTAACTATTTTTTCTGGCATTTCCCAGACTTCGCTTTCACTCGTATCAGGCCATGGATTCGATCATACACAATCTGTAGTTCATTACAACCTATTCGCTAGCATACGATGATCCACCTTAAAAATTAGCTTTGTATTATTGAGAGTATTGCCATTCTGAAACAAATATAACTTTGTCAGGGAAGATAACGAAAATTTGTTGTTAAATACAAACTTGTAACTTGTTATAGAGAGTTATCTGTTGTTGCGTTCATCTGTCTAGGGATATGCTGGACAAGACAACGTGTCGCGCACGGTACAACAGACACTAATGGTGAGAATGCTAATAAAGATACACCATGCTTTCGATTCGTCTGCTAGATAACTATTTTTCCCGTTTTAGCTCCTTCAACAACTAAAGCATAGTGTACAATAACATAGCAAGCGATTATTTCCTGAAAAATTCCCACCAAGTCTCGCAGTAGTGCGCAAGCCATTGAAATGCTAATTCCGTGTTCACACAACAAATCTGCCGGATCAGTTTGCGTAATACCCCCAAAAATTATAATTCAGTACTTGGCTGCCTATTCACAAAATGGCATTTAAACAAAAACTAATTATCTCACAGCATAATATATATATATATATATATATATATATATATATATATATATATATATATATATATATATATTTATATTTATATTTATATTTACATAATTTAAATTTAAA